TTTCTACGCAATGCTAATTCACAGCTTGATTGTGTACTAATGCAGCCCAGTAAAGAGAATAATCCAGACAAGGCACAGCCCTGCTATACCTGTTTGACGCGTCGATCACTACTCAATATTTTAGCCGGGTGCCACTTAATGTCATGCAAACAGTGACATTTGACATGTACATTGTAAGGTAGAAACTTACAACTGCGGATATATTTTAATAAGCAACACGCAGAGAATCTTTATAATTCTCAGTTACGATGAAGAAAAGTTCTACAGTTAATTAGTAGGCCTATAAACCTTTTTCTCATTTATTTGTCTCATTATTTTTCTCACCGTATTTGTTTGTTTGTTTTCTTGGTTTTCTAAGGGTTTTCTCTGCGACCACAATTTCTCCCACATGTCCAAATGCTTACACGTGTAGATAGACATTACCCTGTGGCGGAGCTTAAGTGCTGCCCTGGTTTGTTTGGTTATGCCTCATTTACACTCTAATTAGGACCTAGGGATGGACTATCTGTCCTCCAAGGGGGTTATAATCGCTGCCACTTTCCAAATGGCACCCTTTTCCATCGTTAACTATGAGAATTGAGTCCAGCAAGGAAAGTGGTGCAGTATAACACTTTCTTTGCCTTTCCAACTCGCTTGCTACGCGATAACGTGAAAACCAAGGTATCTTCCAAGGATGTTTTTGAGCTGGTGGGGGGGGGGGGGGCATTTGTTAGCCTATTTAGAACACACATAAGGTAGCCTGCTCTTGAAGAACCACACAAAGGTGAAACATTGAGATCCAGAAGGCCTTTAAATTTCCGTAATGCTTAAATACTGTCAATAATATGTCAATAATGAATTGATGTTTGTATATTAGCAAAATAATGTTGAATAATTACTTCTTTAAATGCCCTAACACAGTACTGTTTAAACTATTAAACCATGAGTAGAGACTGACAGTCTTCTTTTGTTTCCAATGATTTGGTTTAACTCATGTTCCCCTGCACTGGTTTGTGTTGTGGGATTTTCATTTTTTTGTGTCTTTTTTTGTCTTCATGGTGGTCAAGGTCAAAGTAGCTGCAGATATCAAATTAAAGGAGACGACGCCAACTTGGCCTCCAGCTGGCTTTGCTGGGAACGGTATGTGGTGCCTTTATCTTCTGCGAGAAAATGTTAAGAGGGGAAAAAAAAGCTGAATGCAAATAAAAGCACCAACTTCGTCCTGCGCATGGTTTTGGTTTTCTGTCTGACGGATTCCCTCGTCAGACATCAAACTAAACATCCTGGGATGGGAATTCTCCCTGGGTTACTGGAGCATCTCTGAAAGCACAAATTGTCTAAATCACTCTCTAAATGGGCCCATTGAGCACAGTGGGACACCCTTCAGATGCTAGTCCCAACTGGTGTTAAGGATTTTTTTTTTTGCAAGTGTACAAAGGAAGAACTTTTAGTATTTTTTTTTCTTACAATTTTCCCTAAATCGCAAAGGATTTGCAATAAATGTTTTCTTCTCTCTTTTTTGAGTCAGTTCTTTAGCTGTTTGAAATGTTTAATATTTTCCACTCTGCGTGTCCAAGACGTTTACAGTTGGCGTCAGAATACTGAGCTGGTCTTAGCGAGTCACTTTGAAGTGTTTGCGGTATCGCCACATCTGCAGACAAGATGTGCATACTGAAGGATCGGGTTTTGTCTGTACTCCCCACGTCATGTGACAATGAACAACATGTATTAACTCTTTCCAGGACAGCCATCCTGAATCTAGTTAGGTGAAAAACGGTTTTCTATAATAGCCTAGTTGTATATGTTGTACTTACACATATTAGCAAATTAAATTCTGGCCAGGAAATATACTGAATTTTGAAATATAATAAAACATGCTACTCTAATCTTATGTCTATATTTGAAATTAAATTCTTACAGTTGATTTGTATATTAGAATTTATTTTGAAGAATTTATTTAGTGTTTTGAATCAGTGTTTCGTCATCTTTTTTCCCACCTTCTGTAAGGCCGTGGTTGAGAAACACGGCTCTGTATGTCATATGAACTTGAACTGCCTCTGAAAATGGAAAAAAATAGTATGCTACGGTGTAGGCAGAATACATATAGCAAGAATCCATATTCTAATGTCATCTATGTCTCAGAACCGTGTGGATCTACCAAGGAGTCACTCGGGATTCTCGCACAAAAACATCTCCGACACTATTATGACGAACCACAGACTAGTAATTCAATCAGCTGTTTAGCTTGCAATACAAATAACAGGCCGGCCACAGCTATTTAAACATCTCTTAATATTAGAGATTGTGCCAAGGTGGCTCGACTTTTCATAAGCTACAGCAAACCACAGCGATTCCCCGACGGTCAGCGGCGGGGCCATTTGTAACGGTTATTAAAGTCATATTTCACAGCCTTGTTCATAAATTACCCAGGGTTTCAAATGAGCCTCTCTGTTGCTCGCCGTGTATATCACTGCTCCAGGGCGTGTAGGGCTGTAATAGTAGCCTGTGTGGCTCCGTTTGGTCAGCACATCGCAATCACTTTGGGAAATGTATGGGAACAGAAGGTAAATGTTACAATCAGGAATCTCCGATCCTCTAAACTGCGCTGTTCACGTCTTCTTTGTGTGCCCATTTACTACTGGGTGTTGTTTTTCAGATAGTATGACGTTTTATACTATGTACTATTGTCGGCCTAACATTAAAAAGAACAATTTTTAGCAACATGATTTCGAGGCAGAGCTACTGTGAGATAATTATAGTTTAACTCATAGTAAAACTCATTTTAAATGATGTGTAATCTGAAGTGTGTTTAGAAAATAATCCTCAGTCATTTTTTTTAGGGGGTGGCTTGGAGATGCAGTGGTTTGCACTGTTGTCTCACACCCCTGGGACTGGGGTTCGAGTGTCCACCATGGTTCCGTGTGTGTGAAATTTGCATGTTCTCCCTAAGCTGTCGTGGAGGTTTCCTTCAGGTACTCCAGCTTCTGTCCACAGTCCAAAAACACACTAAGATGAATTGGATTCACCAGATTATTACTGGTGTATGTGGGTTGGCACCTTATAGACTTAAAGAAAATTAACATGACAAATATTCAAAAATATAAAGATGAGTATAGAAAAGAGGGGATTTGACATTTTTTTCATAATTCTTTTTAAACACACGGTTTTTCTGTTATTTAGTATGAAAACCTTGGAAGAAGGTCGGAATAGATCAAAAACTCTCTCAGCCAATTAGCAAACAGCATTCCCCGAGTACCACTTACAGCCTGACTCATACACCACAAAAGGTGAACGATAACATACCTTCACGGTGAATGCATCAAAACACGCTCCAATTGTCTTAACGACAAAAAAGACTCCTAGTTTACAATTAGCTCTTTCCCTCAGAACGCTTGGGTTTAAACCTTGAGTTGTCTATTTCTGTCCTAAGAAAATTAGCAGAATTTCATCTGACGGCCGCTCCTGCCCCCCCAAGCTTACCCACCCGACGTCAAATGATTTTGAAAAGACTTGCAAAAGTTAGTCTTTCTAAATGTAAATGTAGAGTGACACATTATACTGAGTGTGACAGTAAGATTTCCTACAGCTCTGCCACAAGGCCAAAGGGCTGAACTTGCATTCAGAATCGGGAGTAAATTGGTCTGGCAAACCAAGATACAGCGAGTGTGGTGTCCACATGTGACCAATTCGTGCTGACTGTTACTTTAAGGGCACAGGACTTGAAAAGAGCATGAGACAGCATGGCTCAGAGGCTGATTAGCCATAGTGCTGCCATTTACAATGAAACTCCAAATGTAATGATGAAAGTAATCCATTGCTGCAATGGCAAGGCTTCATGCAATTTTACTAAATCAATATATGAAATGCAACATTCCCTTTACGATCTCCGCTGCAATTCAGTACCAGCCGTGGACCGTAGTTCACAAACTCGGGGGTGAAACTTTCCATGCATGCCCAGTTATTTATGTAGCAGATGCTATTACCAAAGTGACATGCAGTTGAGAATGCAGAGTCAGCCAGTCGCTGGAACAACTGGAGTTAAGGGCCTTGCCCAACAGCCCAGTGGTGAAACCGCTAAGCTGACCATGGGATTTAAACTAGTGACCTTCTGGTCACAGAGTCCTAACCCGCAGTGCCCCGAAACTACCTCATATACTGCTGAGAAACACCAGAGCGAAGTCGACTGATCTGTACTATAGTGTCCTTTGCAGAAATATATCCACTCCTAATTCAGTGCTGCTCTGCTGAGGTTCGAGACTCCCTGCAGTCAGCCCCCCCAACCCCAAAACAAAAAAAAAAAGCTCAGGCTTCACATACAGTGCTCAAAGAAAGTTTTGGGATGTTTGCTTAATTCAGTAAAAATACTGCAAAATCACTGGCTTAAAAAAAATCATTACTTTATTAATTTGTTTACAAAATAATTATCACATTAGAAACAACCAGTAGTTTCATGTAAAACATTAATTTCAAGTTGCAATAAATTGAAACCAAAATTATATTTCTAAAAAAAGCAAATTCTGAGTTAAAAAGTTAATTGACAAGCAGTTTCATTGGGTGCTTTTTAATTTGCAATTACATAAAACACCAAACATTTGTGTTTAGTATCCCTTTGGGAGACAGTGACAACATTTGCAATTAACAGCAAAACGTCAAGAACGTAACTGAATGAGTCCGTCAAAAAAATTATGACAGATTTAAAAGAAACATCCATGTGGATGATATGTGCAGGTATGTTAAACATTGCTTGTCAATGAACTTTTGTTATGAAACCAATAAATATTCTGCATTTTTACAGAATTAAGCAGGCGTCCCAAGACTTTCTGCAAGTGCTGTATATTAATAAGGCTGCCAAGGACACATAGGATGGTTCTAGAACCATCTACAGACACACACTGATGATATATTTAAAAACATATGGCCGCACAAGGGCTTGACTTATGTGAATATTACTTTTTTGGTGGATAGTCCCCACTTCCTCATTTATTGTCGAAAAATTATTGTCCACCCCCCCATTTTTTTACCTGAACAGAGGGTTTCCCCAGACAAATGACAGGACAGGAAGCTCGCTGTAAAGTCCCCAAGGTGACTCCTCCACAGGGCTCCAGATCGATGTTTCTCTCAAAGTGTGACACATCGCTGTAGACAAATATATAGCAAGTGATCCTACCTCCCAAACATCGGGTTTCTGGTATGAATATTAGCATTCAGAGGCACTGAGCTTTTCAGTGTAATACAGCATAATTATTAGTCTTAAACTTAATGCTTTTTGTTTAGTCCATTCACTCTGGAACCTTGAAAGGATCTCTCTCTCTCTCATATATATATATATATATATATATATTTTTTTTTTTTTTCTCTCATTGGTCACTATACAATTTGTAAGCTGCCCTTTGGTTACTGACATGAGAAAAGTTGATTTACATTTCATCCCGACTTCCAATGGAACTCTGGGTTTGAGTACTTGAGGAAACATCATCATGCATTTATGAAGAAGACTTCTGACACGTCTGAACGAGAGCCTAGGCGGCATAAAGCTGACCATTGTCGGTTAAAATGGTAGTAACAATTGCAGTCTTCTATCAAAAATCTCATCTGAAAGTCATTTGTTTCCGCACTGCGCACTTAGCTCAGCCATTGAAAAATGCTTATGAACAGATATGGCCGACCTTTTTGTATAAAGCACAACTGAGACACGGGTCAGCAGGACATTTTAAGTATGGCCAGAATTCAGCATACGCTACGGCAAAGATCAGTTATGATTCTTAGTTCCATTCCCACAGCTACTAACCTTTTTGAAATGGCAACTTTGGAACTATCTGTCCACTAAACAAATCTTAAAACATGCATAAAAATCATTAGCATTTAAGGTAGCTAATGGGCAGTTATTTTCTTCTTTAACCCTGAAGGCGTGAGCTATCAGTAGTACAGTTCTTGTTCTGAGATAGATTTACTATGTACCTCATCTGACTAGCAACCCCATATTCATATGTGCTCACGATGCCCCCAATATATAATATAATTACGCGCTTGGTCTGCGTGGCTGCGGCCTTGAACTCTCATAAAACCATTATATTACCTGTTGGCAGCTTGAAGATTTAACGAAAGAAATAGCTTATCTGGATAGTTGCTATTTCTATTCCACTGCTCACTAAACAAAAGCAGGGAAGCGGACGCTTTGGGAACAGATGTTAATTAAATATTATACGGAATAAGATTATCCATCAATCGACCCTGAGCATTTCAGGCTCCGGGCCTTCTCGACCGTTTTTTTTATTAACATATGACGCAGTTTCCTCCTGGCCTCTAGGTGTCGCTGGAGCATCTTTCCTCAGCGCACAGCTGTTAGTGACCCTCCGCTGTGTGCTGGGATGACAGCGCCACAGCAAATGCATTCATGAGATGATATGAAAAGCGTTATCCTCCACAAATAACATATACTGTAAATAAAGCGACGTACGAAAATCCTCGGTTAGCCGGCTGTTTCTTAGCTCAAGACGCCATGCAGTCGGAGGATGCGCGGTATTTGCAGAGGTAGCTGTGTTATTGTGCTAATGTGGCTAGCTAGCGGCATCAGACAGTAACCGGGCAGCGTTTGGTATCTTCTGGCTATTAATAATCTATAAAGATACGGTTTTTTGTCTTTTATCGTTATGTTCGTGTCGTCTGCAGTGCGATGTGTGATTTTTCTCCCGCTTGGGTTTTAATTTACCATTAAAGGGTCACTGTAAAGGTCCATCCGCTGGGGTCTGTCATTTTCTGGGTGGAGACCAGCATTAACATACAGTGATTAAGCGTTAGCTGTCTGCTTTATTTTACTTTTAACAGTAGCTACCCAATAGATATCTGTTCTTTTGCGTTGAAAAATGTCAGTTTACATTTTTACCATTTTGTGATTATTTTAAGTTAGCTGGAAGACTAGCTCACCATTCAGTAGTATAGAATTGGCTAGAGGCCAGGTAATTTTAGCCACCATAATCTGCTAATACCTTTGAATTGTTACGTAATAAGATTCATTCATATATAAATTCGCTTAGTATAATTAATGAATAAGATGAATATTTCATTTTTTTCCATAATAATTCGAAAATGCGAAGTGTTTGTTTTGAACAGTAACATTTAAAAACATGTACAGTGCATGTTGTGATTGGTGCCTTAACGGACTAGTCATGCCTTGATGTAACTGCTTGTCTGTCTAGGAAAGTCAAGGCAAAGAGCATAGATGTCCACCCCACAGAAAAAGCTCTTGTCGTGCAGTATGAAGTCGAAGCAAACATTTTGGGAGAAATGGGAGACCGTATGCATGGCGAACGGAAGGAGTGCCAGAAAATGTAAGAAAATCAGCTTTTGTCTGTTGCATCACCTTTACGTATGTTAAAAATAAACTATTTAAAAAGATTGTTGTAGGTTCACATCCCAGGGAGCGCACATGAATTCTAACCCTTATCTCAGCCGTACGTTGTGTAGGATATAAGCATCAGATAAATGAATAAAATGTAAATCTTTTTGCCTGTGCAGAATTCGGCTGAAGAGCCTGAACTCCAATACGGACATCGCCTCCCTGGCCCGGAAGGTGGTGGAAGAATGCACACTCATACACCCCTCCAAGCTGCCAGAGGTGGAGCAGCTGCTGTTCTACCTGCAGAATCGCAGGAAGTCTAACGGGAAGGGTAGGTCCTGGCTGGTGCTGTGCACTGGAGGGATACCTACTGAATTACCCCAGCGGGTGACCCTGTACCATCATAATCCTCTCATTATAGCACAATGGTACAACCAAGCTAGCAGTATCAGGCAAAGTCATCGTTTTAAACATGACTGCATATATTAAGTACAGACACTCCCCTGGTTATGATGGGCTTATGTTCCGATAAACGTATCGTAAGGTGAAAATGCATTTTAATACAGTACACCTAACCTAACAAACATCATAGCCTTGCCTACCTTACAAAACATGCGTAGAACACTTACATTAGCCTACTGTTGGGTAAAATCAGGAATACAGCGCCTATTTTATAATAAAGTGTTGAACATCTCACGTCATTAACTGAATAATCATACCCAGCGTAAAAATGAAATATCATAATATGGACCAACGTAACCCAGAGGGTGTCTGTATGCGGAATACAAGATGTCATATCTTTTATGGCCAGCAGGCGCAGTGGTGGTTAAGGACATGGGCTGTTAATGTGAACTTCGCTGGTTTAGGCACCACTGTGGGCCCTGCTTTTGCAGTTAATCAGATCTCCTACAGCATTATATCCATTTATAAATGGGTAAAACTCTGCATGTCACCTCAGGCGAATGCATCAGCTGAGCGACTGCATGCAATCTCAAAGAATCCCAGAACCGATTTTAAGGAGGTCTGCCCACTCTCTGTTTTTCATTTGTTTTTCTCCTGCAGAAAAAAGGGAGAAGAGGTCAGTTAAGCCTAGAGATCTCACCCCTTTTGAGGGAATGGAGGTAAGAGGTGCATGTGGACTTTAAAGAAGGATTCTGTTAAGAAGGTTGAGGCGTTACTCAGCCGGGGGCCTGATGGTTTCAGATCGATGAAGAAGCCAACATCAACAATATCGATGACTATGTGGAGCTGCTCTACGAGGATGTGCCTGAGAAAGTGAGGGGCTCCACGCTAATTCTCCAGCTGGCTCGCAACCCCGACAATCTTAAAGAGCTGCTTCACAATGGTAGGCATCCTTGTGTTTTGTTGTACTGTAGGTAGCCTCTTCTAGGGGAGAAAAAAACCAATATTAATTAAAAAATTTTGATTTGACAGGAAGAGGAAGTTGGCAAGGTCACATCTGCAAACTTGTAACGTCATCTTAAAGCTCTAACTGTCCTCTGTAAGAAACTTACAGAGTGGCATGTACAGTATGAGAGATATGAGCAAAAACATAATGTCCTCTACAGGGGACAGAGATGAATGGCTGGACCTCAGGAGGACATGTAAATAGGTTCTGTCTAGCTGGCCGATTGAATTAAACTTCACAGAGAGGTCAGTCTCAGTGTGTGAGAGGATTATTTTGTCTTTGATAGCTGTCCAGTACTCTGTTTATGAAGCAGGCTTGTAGCCTCTGCATGTATGAGTCCTGTGAGTGCTGGGTTGGTTTTTTGAGTGAACACTGTACGTTAGGGATTCCCAACCTTTTGATGTCTGTGGACCGGTGTGTATCATACAAAAATTTCCTAGAATGGGAAAGCCATACCCATCAACATTAGGTTGTGATAAACAGAGAGATTTTGCCACCCTGGGGGTGTGGGGGCGGGAGTCAGTTCTCATGATCATAAAAGTGTGCATGTGGAAATTTTTTTGTGAGAAATTATAAATTGGGAATACAGTGGGAGGAAGGGTGGAAGATCGGAACTCCTGGTAACCATTTGCTTTTTTTTCAGATGTGAACAGAATGGGGAAATGTAAGGGGGTCATTAAAAATTTAAAATATATAGTTTATTTTTGGAAATTAACCAACGCCTCTGCTTAAACCCCCAGCGTTCTGCAGCCCGTCGGAATGCCAGCCACAGACCAGGGGGTTGGGAACCCCTCTTGTGGTGGTTTCAATAACTGAAGTGACAGAAGAATTATTTTCTCTAATAAGAATTTGATTAATTGTAGGAGAGAATGTAATGCATGCTTTTTGTTCAGTTCACATTAATGCATTTATAGCACATTTGACAGTCGCATAAGAGCAGATCTACGTCTGATGACCGTAAAGCCCCTCAGGGCCCGAGTTCCACACAGAGGCCGGGGTTCTACTCTCCATTGCATTTCTATGTCTGTTGCTTGTCAGAAACGGCTCTTGGCGCCCTGGCCCGTGTCCTTCGAGAAGACTGGAAGCAAAGCGTGGATCTGGCCACCACCATCATCTACATCTTCTTCTGCTTTTCAAGGTAGAGGTTTTTAGGCAGAACTGTCTGCTCCCCCCCCGCACCCGATCGTTATCTAATGGCTTGTTAAAAGTAACTTGCACAATTAATCAATGACCTCCTTAAATTAACAAAAAAAAATTATATTTCAATGTGTACAAAGTCTTGCTACAGACTGTCAGCAGCTCTGTTTGCATTACACTGAAGCATGAGCTGTCCTTAATGTTATTTCATTTTGTCAGTCGTATGCCACTTAAGTAGTGTTTACTGGCTGACTTGATTAAAAAAAACTGGTTAATAGAAATTAAGTATGATTTTATAATGCATTACATGCCCTTTTCTGTTACAAATATGACTTTTTCTTTTCAATTGATGCTTTAATCATGCTGTTTCGTCTTCATTTCATCTCCCGATAAGCCAATGCGGTCTGTAACCCATATACATATTAAGGAATTCAGGCCACATAATATTTTGATTCAGCTTGCCGGTTGTTATAAGTTGAAGCAGGAAAATTTTCAGCTGGATCTGAACCCGGTTCCCAGCTACACTGACAAAGCTTGAGGATTACTTCAAGCGTGCAAGAATGTCCAACTGGCACCGTTGTTGGATTTGTACCTTCACAACAGCAGAAAACAGTTTGCTTTAGTCCACAAACCAAATGCTTGTCTCCTTGACTGCAGTGCTGGGTTTATATTACATAAGCAGAAGATTATTACAGCCAGAGGTCCAGATTTCCATATTTCGGAGGAATTCAGTCTGAATGGTTAAAATTAGATCCATAAATGGGGTTTATTGGGGTGACTCTTGTCGTCTTGTTTTTTCAGCTTCTCCCAGTTCCACGGCATAATCACCCACTACAAGATCGGAGCCCTCTGCATGAATATCGTTGAGCACGAGTTAAAGCGATATGACCTGTGGCAGGATGAGCTGCAGCGGAAGAAGAAAGCTTATATCCTTTTGGCTACCCTGGAGGAAGTGTCATGTGACACAGTGTGGCCAATCCACATCCACATCAAAAATCCATGCTGCTATGATTTGTGGTCAGTGTCAAGACCACTATGTAATCCATCCATCCATTGTCCAACCCGCTTATCCTACTGGGTCGCGGGGGATCCGGAGCCTAAACGGAAGCAATGGGCACGAGGCAGGGAACAACCCTGGATGGGGGGACAGCCCATCACAGGGCACACTCACACACTTACACATGCACATGCACACCTAAGGGCAATTTAGCAACTCCAATTAGCCTCAGCATGTCTTTGGACTGTGGGGGGGAAGCTGGAGTACCTGGAGGAAGCCCCACGATGACACGGGGAGAACATGCAAACTCCACACACATGTGACCCAAGCGGAGACTCGAACCCAGGTCACAGAGGTGTGAGGCAACAGTGCTAACCACTGCACCACCATGCCACCCCCACTCTGTAATCAAGCATAATAATAAAGACTTTGTAATGAAACCCCAAAATGCTCTATAAACCATAGACGATGTTAATCTGAATGCATTAAATTGAATTACAACTTAACACTTCTTACGTGACGATGATTCTGACAACCACACCCTCAAGAAGGAACATGAGAAGGCCTTTAAGAAGTATCAAGGGCTGCTGGTGAAACAGGAGCAGCTGTTACGAGGTGCTTTTATTCACATTTTTACTTTGTATTCGTGTAGTTGACACTGATGAGGTTTCCATGGCCTCTTAGGTCTCATACTGCAGATTACATGCAGCCAAGTGCAGCTGGACTTATGGAGTGAGTGAATTTGTTTCCTAATTGGAGAAATACGTCATTGATGTATCCCTGATTAGGTTTATGTGTCTGTAAGAATGAAGGTTATGCATTCTTGAGGGTGGGGGCAGTCTAGTGAGGTGTGTCGTCAATCTGCTGAGAGAACAAGGTGCTTGTGGTTGATTTAGTTGTTGGGAACCTTGCCCTTAGTAAGATCCAAGGATCAAGCAAATCCCTGAAGTCGGGTTCTCTGGATAGGTGTTTTGGGTCTTCATTGGTCTCCACCTTTCTGTACTCGCAGTGGCTCTGTACTTGCTGCTTAACTTGTCGGAGGACCCGCGGACGGAGCTGAAGATGAGGAACAAGAACATTGTCCACATGCTGGTGAAGACCCTGGATAGGGAGAACACGGATCTGCTGGTCCTGGTGGTCTCCTTCCTCAAGAAGCTCAGCATCTACCTGGAGAATAAAAATGACATGGTAAAGCCCTCTAGTGCAGTATGTCTCTGTCATTTCCAGGAGACCCATGTGTGTTCATCACCTTGCTGGCCGTCCTGAGCTACGCTCACCCCGTTAACGATGTTTTAATCGCTTCTGAACCGCTCTGGAATTCCATGGTGTCACCAGGAATTACTGTCAATCTCTCTTCTGAACGCCCTGCCGTCCTTTTTGTGACCGAAAGGGGAATCGCTCGCCAACAATAACATTCCGGCACCTTCGTTGTCGAGTTCCTGGAAGCATGGCTGTGCTGGGATTTTGGGGACGGCTTGTTGCCTATGGCCCTGCGGCACGTCTGGATGGAGCGTCTCGGACCGAGCTTAAGCTGTTTATCCGGCACGTTTGGCCCGGCAAACGTGTCATGAGCCTGGGGCTTTTGGGACTGAAGTCCCAGAGGAATCCAAATGAGTTCAGAAATCCTTACATCCCTGCAGTTCTAGTCAAGGGCTACATTTCCCAAAACCTTCATAGTGCTATGATCCACATAACTTCACAGAGAGAGAGAATTCGGTATGGTGAACCTTGGAGAGATTGGGGATGTTTTTCAATATGCATACTTGATCGTTCTTGTGTTCTCGCACACTCATTTGACAGTGTGGTTCCAATACTCAAGAACAGAAGAAAAAATCCCTGGGTGCCATTCTTCCCCAGCCCCAAATATCAAGGATGCATCAGTTGAATCCTTGCTAACTAAGAATAGTTCCATAACTCATTACATCCCAAGTTTCTTCTTGGGAGGCAAGATAGAAAGAACACAAGTGTGTTCTTTGCGTACAGCAGAAATCTGGGCTGAGCCTCTGATGCCTTTAGGACCTAACAGCTTGTCTGGGCACGGCCCTTTGCGTATCCTCACCATCCTTCAGCATATTTCTAAGTCCGACTAAAAGCTTACTGTGATCTCCCCCCCGTGTCCTTACACAGCCCGTGTACAGAGACGTGTCGGGCTTAAGGGCCAGCCGATTTCGAGATGTCACTCGCTGAAGGGAAGATCTATCGACTATTTGGTCCACAGAGGTTGCTCTTCATTGAAAGAATTGAGCTCATATAAAGTATATCATTAGAAATCCTAAAACAATATGATAAATTGGCTTAGTTATTTTACCATCTGTTCTTTCAAGTGGTCAGCCAGTAACAGTAATGGATGTTAAGAGTAATATATTTTCATTTGACACTGGTTGTAGTTACAGTAAATCATGACTTGGCTTGTACTCTTAATAGGAATTGTAACATTATATTCTTTGCTCACTGCAGCATTGTGTTTGTCATTTGTTTAGGAATGAAGACATTTGTTGTTTTTGGATGTAATTGCTAATATCCCACTAAGACGTAGTAGAAGCAGAGGATGCACATAACTGTCTTGTGTTGGTTTTGAATGCTGTGTTGAAGGACATCATACCTGCACTTGGATCATGAAGGTTGACCTTATCCTGTGAAAAATGCAAGCCATACATGGTTGACGTGAGTTCCCTGTCATGGGCAGGCTGAGATCGACACGGTGGAGAAGCTGTCCAGGCTGGTCCCCTGCGATCAGGAGGACCTGCTGAATGTCACCCTGCGGCTGCTGCTCAACCTGTCCTTCGACACCGTCCTGCGCAGCAAGATGGTCCAAGTGGGCCTGCTGCCCAAGCTCACCAACCTGCTGGGTAGGTCCTGTCCCACGAGAGCTCTCCCCAAGCACCGTGTGGGGTGCTGTCCATGAGGAATGGCCAAGGAGCACACGGACTCCCTAAGGCATCTTGGCACGGATCACTCCATAAAATCAGCTGGATCGTAGATGCTTAGTGGTTGAGGAAATGGACTGAGGGGTTTTCTGGATCTGATACTCAGTACTGTACCTGAGTCATATTCCAAGTTGCGAGATGTGTAAGCGTCCAGATGCTGAATTTACTGGATTGATCTGATCCAAGGGAAACCTCTGTGTGCTTCAGTCTCATAAGACTGGTCCTGATAAAATATGGCATTTAACGTGCCAAGCTATTAAAGTTTTATCTTAAATATTAATAGAGCAAATGTTCTTGTTATGAATGTTGGTATTTTCCTCTATGCTGTTTTTTCTTGGTGACAGTCTTGGCCAGTAATGTGAGCCGGGTTGCATGTGAAGATGAGAAAACAAAAAATGAAATGTGTGTAACAGGGAAATGGTGGACCTCAAGCGTTTAGGCTGGTTTTCAGTCTGTGGGGTGACACTGATTCCTAATGTGTTTTCTTTGCCGCGTGGCTGGGAAAATCAGCCTCTGTCAGAATCCTTTATCCTGAAAGTTATGAGGGTGCGATGGATTTGGGGGCTCGCGGGAGAGGAGGGCATGAAGGGGCGGTGTACTGGCGGTGTAATACATTGTACATCAAGTATGAAAACAAGAACTTGTTGTTTTTCTTGTTAGAATATATGGTTGCTTACATTTACGTAGATATTTTAAATTATGTATTAGAGGGAGTAAGTGGAATGATGGTTTGTATCATCTTTGAAGACTTCAGTAAGAGTGTGATTCTCATGGGACTCATCCTTCCCTGACAGCAGTAAAGCTCCACCAGCAATCTGGATGTTTCCTCACAGACTCGTATCAGCAATTTGCTCATTTTTCATTCCTAGCAGTTATTTGGCAAAAAAAAAATCAGGAGCGCATCTGACTCCAGAAACTCTGCCGCTGTCCAGAAAAAACAAGAGCCTTCATGAAAATTGATAAAAATAGCAAGTCGCAATACATGACAGAATGATATCAAATTGTTAAAAATGTTTAGTTGCACAAAACAACAGACATTTGGCAGAGGAACCTCCAGTGTTACATGTCCTTGCGTTTTTTCACACTTAAGTAATTAAAGTGCAGATGTGTGACTTAAAATGCTCCGTAAAGTATTGCAGGATTTTTTTTTCAATCTCCCTGAGGGAAGTTTACAGGGACGTCAATGAAAAGTCACCATGACTGAAATTCGAGCATGTCAGTAAACAGGGACTCTGCGTTAAAAGTCATGAGACGTCATGTAATCCAATCCCGCAAGATAATTCCCGTTGAAATTTCGGCGCGGTATTTACACAGCTAGTACAAAAGGGGGTAAAATCGTCCCATAAAATGCCCCCGCAGGTGTAGCCACTTGAACGCGGAGTCAGACTCCGGACACGCACCGGGTCACGACAGCCGTTTGTCAGGCCATTTCCTCCTCGAGAAATGCAGCGCGTGACCGGGGCAGTTGTCTAGTCTCTGTTTGGATTCACGGGATTGATTTGACTTTAATACCTCCTCCAGGGCTTAGATGTCTGCTATCATTAATATTACGCATATGCTAAAAATAACAATTTAAATCGTAAGTAATTTTTTTCCTCGATCACTTGAATTCCTGGGCCCCCCGAGTGACTCTTTGACCTGCTTCTTCCCACGTGCCGCTATTAATGACTTAATTGAGCGCCTGCCCAACCCGCTCCCGATCCCAATCTGGAGCTGATAGTCGGCATATGTCTGTTTGCGTTCCAATTACCGTTTCTGACACAGTCGCGGCCTTATCGACAGCGCGGGCCGCAAATAGCTTGCTTGATGAGGTCATGCCCTGGCGGTCGCCCGCATTTCAGTTTCAGGGTCAGTCAGACCGCGAACATCCACTATCAGTGCCCACCAGGGGGCGCTCTACCGATGAAGCTTTTGACAAAGTGTGTTAACGGATCAGGGCTTTGCACCAAACAGAAGAGCTTGCAGGACACAGGAGCTGGGTGATGCCTGCTTCGGCTGATTTATTGCCGCTCGGATCGTAGCTATTTCACCCGCGCCTTGTCGCCGTTTAAGATTTTTAACGGCGTCAGATGTCTCGTCACTGATCGGGTTTTAGAGTCCCCCAGGTTCCTGATAGTATGTATTTTCTTTGCGCTGGCCCCAGTAGTGTTTTCTGACTTTAATAGGATCCTCTTCAGACCATAAAGAATCATCGATTTTTCCTACCGGTGAAGTGAGTCAATAATGCGGGTCAGATGTACCGCCGGCGCTAACGAGAAGCACATGTGCAGCCGGCAGGGCCCGGCGTGGACGCTACAGCGCCGTTTGAACTCATTAATGGCACTAAAATTTATGCTTCCTCCTGTTTTCCCAATTAAACCAATGTGCCCTCCCTGCCCCCTAACCCTCACACATCTGTTTCCAATAACCCCGTGTGATAATACATCCACGAGCATCTCAGTTGTCGTTAACAGCATCTCGTCTTTTTAAATAAGCTGTTACGTAACGGATGGCTCTTTGCCCTCATATCAGCGCGCTAGCTGGCGGCTTTAATTGGTTAGCAGGTTTATTCGAGGTTTGTTTTTGAGATTTGTTCCTCGTTACGGCATACCGTTATTATGTTGCGCCCCGGACTGGCTCAGTTCCTTTTCACATGGGCAGCTGTACCCAAATCGGGCCTTACTGTTGGTTAAATCTGAGTTACGATGTGCCTTTCTGTTGGATGTTTATAACATTGAAACAGTCATGAATTCAGCATTCGGTACTAAAACCCTCACACAAAGTCAGATTCTCCTCCTGTTAATAAAAAAAACTTTGTTTTGAAGAGAGATTTAAACAAGGAACAGTTTAGGGAAATTAGGGTAGAGGGTAAGTTTTTTATTGCTTGTTTTGTGTCGTACAGCCTTTTCTTCCGCACTGACAGATTTGTTATGTGTTTTGTTCTTCCAGTCAATGAGAGCCAGAAGCAGATAGCCATGTGCATCCTGTACCACATCAGCGTCGACGACCGCTTCAAGTCCATGTTTGCCTACACCGACTGCATTCCACAAGTACGCCTAAAGATCACGCTGTAAAATTCACTGTATGCCAGGCAATTAAGCACAACATCCCCGAAACCAGACACGTTCCGTTCTCTGGGTCACGTTTTGCTCATTAAATGAATAACAGAGCGATGATGTTGTGGATATGGACGCATGCCAATTACAGTAACATCTGATGGCTAATGACTCCTTGTCCATAAGGAGGCACTTCTGCAATGCTGGTCGGCACTTTGGCAGTGTATTTTATTCCTGGCTGCCTCGGCCTCAATAAAATAGTCAGGCAAGGGGGGTCCCTCTGTTTGTTTCAGGGAAACTGCATTCTTTATTGTTGAGATCCTCTAAATGCATGTCCTGTTTAATTAGGTGAAAATGCCGTTCAGATTCCCTGAGTTTACGTTAATGATTCAGCCAATGGGCATGCACAGCTGAGAGATGATGTCACTCACGGGGACACCAGACAAGAATGTTCCTATGGATAGGTCTTCCCGTCTCCGGTTCTTCCTCCATCCGCCCCTGTGTCTGTCCCTCCCATCTCCACCCATGGTTTTTATCTGCCTCCCCCCTTTGACAAAGGTCTTAATTGCCGGCCTTCACCTCACGATGCCCCCTGCTGCCCCCCCTCCCCCTTCCCTATCACCACCCTTGTAGTCTCGCACTCTGAAACAGGCAGTTCAGGCTTTGGTGGTGGTGGGGGGGGGGGTTGCTGCCAGGAGGCACTGGTCATAGAGAGACATTCCTGCTCTGGACAAAGGTCCCACCGTAATCACTCTAAGATGTTTGGGGGGGGGGGGGCAGTGCGAGGGGGCTGGGCCTCCATCTGCTGGTAAATAAGAAAAGTCAGGTGCCAGAGAGTCTAGACGGCGTGATTTCAGGCCCGGGACCCCGGTACCCGATACTCAATGTGGGACTTGTTTGATTGCACACTGCTGCCTCTTCACAGTGCGCCCTGCTCTTTAATGCCTTCCTGTTTAATGTTAAATCAGCCGACGTTGACGGCAGATCGTGTTTAGGGCTCCGGTGGTGCTGTTCCTGGCCCACGCTCCCCGCCTGGTTTCCTGATTGCCCGGCCTCACTGTAGGTAGCAGCCCGGCACTCGCTGCGCTTGCATTTAAACGCCACTGATTTAAATTTCAGCCGATGGCGCCGCACCTTTGTCGAATCCTGTGCAAACTGCAATCTGGCTGTCACTTTCTCTGTCATTAACTCCATCTCAAATAAGAGGAAGAGTGCTATAAGTAGTATGGCACCAGAGAGGATGAAACTAGCTGCACAAAATAGGGTTTAACCCACTGTTCAAAATGTATTTCTAAATACAATCAATAACCTTTGTGGTGCTAAAACCATGTTCGTGTTTAATTTTTTTTGCGAATGACTTCTTGATAGGATACTTTTCAAAAGATTCGGTGACAAACGTGTATGCTCGCAACCTCCTTCAACAGAACGGTTCTAAATTTTTTTTTTGTGACACTGGAATTTCAATGTGATGCCAGATATGTACTTAAATGGGGCTTTAAGACCAAACCTCTAATGCTTCGTTTATCTGTAATCGGCGTGTATTCTTGCTCCCGATTTGTGGCCGCCGACTCTGTGAGGTGTAAATGGAGCTGGTTTCGTCTTGACAGCTGATGAAGATGCTTTTTGAGCATGGCGAGGAGCGCTTGGATGCTGAGCTCATTTCCTTCTGCATTAACATCGCGGCCAACAAGAGGAACTCGCAGATCATCTGTGAAGGTACCGTGCCCCGGTCTGGCCGGCCTCTGCCCAGCGGGCAGCCAAGGGTCTTTGGGGTCATATAAACCACTCTGCTCTGGGTTTAAGGTAACGGCCTGAAGATGCTGATGAAAAGGGCCTTGAAACTGAAGGATCCTCTTCTGATGAAGATGATCAGGAATATATCCCAACATGATGACCCACCCAAAGACTTATTCATTGTGAGTATAACTTCACCAAGGGGAAATTTTAGGCTGTTTGGGCGTCTGAAATTGGTGTTTCTCAATATGCATACTTGTTCTCACGTGTTCTCACATTTGACATCATCTTCCTTTGCTGAAGATTAGTTCCAATACTAAGAACAGAAGTACAGAGGATGGTAAAAAATCTCCGGATGTCATTCTTGCCCCAAATATCAAAGATACATCGGTTGCATCCTCACTAAAAGAGATCAATCCCATGATTCACTGCATCCCAAGTTCATGCTTGGGAGGCAACTTAGAGAGACTGCTCTTGCCTAGACCACAAGTATGGTCTTTGCGTTCTTGGTATTGAGAAACACCCCTCGTGTCCTCCACATGCAATGCATTGTGGGTGTACCAAACAGGAAGTGGCGGACTCTGTGCTGACGGGTCATGTTCTCTAGGACTATGTGGGGGATCTGGCCGCCCAGATTAGTGGCGATGAGGATGAGGAGTTTGTGATCGAGTGCCTGGGCACGTTGGCTAACCTGACCATCCCGGACCTGGACTGGGAGCTGGTGCTGAGGGAGTACAACCTGGTGCCCTTTCTGAAGGACCACCTCAAGCCAGGTAGCTCCTCTGGGCCTTTCTGTGAAGGTACAATCAGCACAGTGTTGACCATCTCCCCCCCCACCTGAGCTGTCTGCCGTCTCCCATCAGGCTCTGCAGAGGATGACCTCATCCTAGAGGTGGTGATCATGATTGGCACCATCTCCATGGATGACTCCTGTGCCGCCATGTTTGCCAAGTCAGGAATCATCCCGGCCTTGATCGAGCTGCTCAACGGTAAAGACCAACCATGACGTGCTTGGAACTCCTGTACTGGGGCCTGATTAGGACGCATGGGGGAATCCGTTCATCCATCTTCTATCCGATGGCTCCCTGTCATTCCTGAGCTCATGCTCCCCTTATAACCCTGTACTGAGATAGAGAATCAGTCATGACATATTTTGGGAAACAGTAAAGTGCACAAGCCGCACACATGAGGACAACCTATTCCTGCAATAGATCCTAAACAGATTATTGGTTTGCAGAAATTACACATTAAGGGACATTGTGATGATGATGATTATTATTATTATTATTATTATTTTTATAAAGCCTTCTTTAAAGAATCAGTGCCAGACCACAGAAAAATGGCAGGAAGGCAGTGTAGCCTGAATTGTCAGTCACCAAGAGGCGTGACCTTTCAGCCTTCCAAAGCATCCCCCAGTTCCTTCGTCCACTCCCCGAGCGGGCCGCATGCACAAAACCACCGGCTAGGTTCAGGCGCGTTTGTGCGGCACCGTCGCCCATCCCGATGATTACAGTCTGCTTGTTTCTCTAAATCAAAGAGAGTGGCTGTTCCTGACGGGCACGTATCTCCAGGGCCGTGCTGTGACATCACGGCGTGGTTTGAAAGCACTCTTTTATTTCTCTGCGGTGGGGAATAGCCTTCTTCATGCGCCTGACCACATGACCGTTCCCACACGGAGAGATTACAACTGCAGCAGTTTAAATAAAGGCTATCATCATCATCATGATCATCATCATTATTATTATTATTATTTTAAAGAGCACTTGTGAATGTCAAGGAACTTTCCTTCATGGAAAAGAACTGCTTTGAATTTTTATAGATTTTTTAAAATATATATAATCTGACAGCAGCTAAGTGAACTGCTTTGAAATTAGCAGTTTTAAAGCTATATGCATCTGATTTAAAATTGACTTTTGTTGACTTGATATTCAGTTTACTTAAGTAACTGCTTAAGTATGATATATTTGAAATCTGAGTTTTTCATTTATTGAAGAATTTAAAATAATTGTAAATTAGATTTGGTCACCATATTTTAGTGCTTTACAGAATTATACAAGTAATGTGCTTTTGTAGAGAATTTCATGGTTAAAAGAAAACCAGCCAAAAATGTCCTGTGAGTGTGTAGTGAATAGCAGGAGTGGAGCAGGAGTGGAGCGGCGTGTAAGTGGTTGATCTTATAAATGACTGACTGGTTTTGTTGTTTTCCTTCCAGCCCAGCAGGAGGATGATGAGTTTGTCTGTCAGATTGTCTACGTCTTCTACCAGATGGTGTTCCACCAGGCCACCCGAGACGTCATCATCAAGGAGACCCGTATCTTTCCCAGCAGATTCCTTAATTTACCAGATAAGATTGGTGTAAATTCAGCTGGTAGCACTTTCTGGACAAAAAAATGAAGAAATGGAGTGTAGTGTGTTTTTGCAGGAGTAGACCATTGGCTTGGCTGGTACGACGGTATTACGGTATACCTTGGTATTTTTTAATACCGTCAAAGATACAGAGATCTCTGATACAGAGATGCTGTACTGTAGTGCTCAGTGTTAGCAGTGATCGGAGGCTCACTTAAGTAACAAAGAATAATAATAAAAAAGTCAAAGAATGACATGCATGCGTAGGTTAATGCCACAAAAACAAAATGTGCCTTAATCTGTTTGAGCCTGTGCAGCACTCGTGAAACAGAGGATAAGCTATTTAACTCCAACACGGAGCTGCCTTCTCACTTCCCTACTGCTCAAGCTCCACACTGATCAGCCCGTTTAGTGCCTGATGAGCCAAACCAAAATTTTGGTCTGGATTTGTACTTTCTGAACTTGAATTTTCCACCTCTGCCGTATAGCGGAGAGAGACAGCCATGTCAGTGCTGAACGGCTCCTTGAATCTGCCTCCTTGACTCTGCCTCCTTGACTCTGCCTCAGAGGCTCCGGCCTATCTCATCGACCTGATGCATGACAAGAATGCTGAGATCAGGAAGGTCTGTGACAACACGCTGGACATTATTGCGGTGAGCAGAGGGGGAGGGAATTGCCGTCCAAGTGTGTATGTTTCTAGCATTCATGACATCTGTCTTTCTAACTCTTCCTTCAGCTGGGCACATGTGGTGAGGTGGGTGATAAAATCTCACTCTCACGTTACTGCTTTGTTGACATAAGATATCTGTAATTACTTCTGAATTACTGAAGTGCCTTTCCTTCTTCGAGTGGGGAAGTGTTTAATTGAATTTATTAGTAAGCATATTAAGTTCTAACCACATGAAAGTGGGCGGGGAGGCCTGGTTTTCATCAGTGACAGCAGAACGAAGCACAGACCACTGGCACTCCTGAACAGATCACATCACAACCTGATTATAGCTTGTGGAACTGCGCCGTGCATTGTGGGAAACGGAACAGACCCATTCTTTCTATTGATGATCTTGTGGTTCTGTGCGGCTTGCAAAAAAATTAAATAAATAAATGTTGCTAATTACACCCAGGGCCACACAAGGAAGGTAGCCTTTGCGGTAGGAACAGTCCCCCAGAATCCTCTTACTGATAGCTTGCGTGGACCTTTAAGAATTTAAGCCGGAATTTCTACGGGAAACCTCATCTGTCGCGTTCCGCATCTGTACACGAAGCCTGCAGTGTACCGATACCGGTGATTTATGGGCTGTGCTCTGGGCCATTTGTCAAGATGAAGTGAGATTTTCGTTCCAGCTGCATCCGCGAGCTGCTATGGCCTTTAATACCATTGCGAATTAACAGAATGTGCCGGGGGCCAATTCCGGGGGCCTTGCGATGGCCAGCCGTTCGGTGGGTTCCGCGTGCAAGGGGCCCCACCGGGACCCCCGGCGCTCTGCTCTATGTTGGTGTGATTAATCAGCAGCAGCAGCCCTGCCGCTCAGAAGTAGCCTGTATCTCACACGTGCTGCGGGGAAAGAAAACAAGAGCACATTTCCCCAGCCAAGCAACACAGAGCCCATCTGAGGAATTCATTTTTTTATTCGCGGTCGCATTGCTGAGGTGATGGTGCAGCACGGTTCGGCCCTGAAAGGCCATGTCAACGGGCACTTCCTGTTACTAGGAGCCCCCCCAGACTGAGCTAGAGTCCCATCACTCTGCCCATCCAGCCATGTGCCGTTTGAAGCGCCCCCTCCGTGCACACCCACCAGCCCCCGTGGCTCCGGCTCGAACCGTGTTGCTGTTGGCGACGGTCTGGGAAAATTGAGAGTGGGGCATGTGGTGGTCGCCATTGGAAACGAGCTGGCATGCGACCGGCAGAGATGTGACCACGTCCCTTCTGCCAAAAGCGTCCACATCAGGTGGCCTGCGGATTGAACCTCAATGGCGGATCTTCCGGGTTGGCGTGGTGCCCAGCTGCATCCCCATCGCATTGCTCATCTTTTGCCACTGGGGTGCGCTGGAGAGCATTGAGTTCAATTGCTGCATGAATTAATGTAAAGTGACCGTATGCGTCTCACCACCCCTGAGTGTGGAGGCGCAAAATATGATGCAAAAAAAAAGATGCCAAAAGCTATCATAGGTCAGCATGCATGAATGTAGCAATGAAAATGCAGCGAAATGTCGTGGGCAGCGGGCAGTCGAAAGTGATTGGTCGGCATCACACGGGCCATCGTGAGTGATTGGCTATCACCAGCCCAATGTGAGCATGCTGGTGAGCCATTGGTCAATGCTGTCCCATGTAGGAGTATGATGAAGAGTGGGGGAAGAAGATCCAGAGTGAGAAGTTCCGCTGGTACAACTCGCAGTGGCTGGAGATGGTGGAGAATCGGCAGATGGACGAGGCCGAGCCCTTCATGTACGGCGATGACGGCGACGTCCTGGAGAGGCCCGACCTCTTCTACAGCGCTGGTGAGGGGCCCTGCCCAGCGGACCTTCATTGTGCCGCACATGCTACAGACTGGGGTTTCATAAGCTGATAGTATAGTGGGGGACGGGACATGCACACCTGGTTCAAGTGGGCTGGTAGGGAATCAGGCTCCTTGAGCATTTAAAAATACTTAATCTAATAATTATGCCCAATCTTGAGGCAGATGGATGATTAAAGACCTGGAGAACCATCTGGTCCAGAACCACACTTAAGAACTTCTAGGTTTGAGGTTTAGCAAAAAATAACCTATTGTTCAAGTGTGTAGGTTTGACTTCACCATTGGTAGGGACCAAATCAGCCCCCAACCCCCCTCCCCCCTATAGACACACGCTGCTCCCACAGTATTCAGGGACGTTTCCCTACAGTCCATACCCATGCCTGCTGAAGATCATTATCTCCACCTTTGTAAAATGGGGGCCGTTCAAAGCCGCTAAAGAGTGACCTCCTTTGCTTGTCTTCATCCCGCCTTCTCTCGCCCTGTGTGCAGATGGGATAATCCCCTCGGATGGTGCCCTTAGCCCCGAGTTCTTCCACGCCCAGAATGGTGACATCGCACAGCAGGTCTTCGGAGCTGGGTGAGTGAGGCTAAGAAGCTTGCACTCCTAGCTACTGCAGAAGTTGCCGTCCGCCGTGAGGAATCACGCGTTTCGACCTGGTGGTGGCCGAGCGGTCGGTAATCCTGAGGTTTTTAGTCTCAATTTAACTGGACGTTTTTTTTGGTTCGGACCTGACCTCATCTGGATTGCACAGGTAAAGCTACGTGTCAGTTAATCACTGACGCCTGCAAATACAGAGTGATCGTATCCAAAACGGCTTGAATTAATCATCTCCGTGCTGTTTTCCTCATCAAATCACACGTGCAAGGTACTTATAAGTACAAACACACTGCAGCGCCCATGAGTTTATCGACTTGTTTAGACTTTATGCATCCTGCTCAGAAAAGCACAACCTCAGTGGGGAGCTCGCTCACCTGCACCCTCTATGATGGCTCAGGAGTGACTGATTAATTTAGACAAGTGAGTGATTTATTTAGACGCACCTGCAACGCTCATTCCCACGAGCCTAAACAGTCACTGCCACATGCTGAAGAGACTGATTCATTCAGACTGAGTGTTGGCTGGGTACCATACACACACTGTCAGTTTGTGTATACTGGGTTGCATGTCCACGTAGCTAAAGACACTTATACCAACGATTATCCGGCATGAAGTCCATACCAGGGAGCGTAGTTAGAGGATGTTTGTCTGTGTGCAGGATTGGCCTGTCCTTAGTCCCAGCAACGCTCCAAACCCGTTCCTCAATGTCTCCTCTTATTCCTCCACTCCTGCTCACTCTGCTCACCCGTTTCGCATGCCTTAGAAAAAGGTTTTTCTCCTGGAGATGGGCTAAATCGACCCCATGACGCTACCCCGGGGACAGGCCGGGCGCGGGGTCCGTCCACATTATCGTTAAAATCGAATCAGCGGCAAACGGAAAGTGACTCGGTGATTAATGCACTTGAACCGCGGAGGGCAACGTCTCGCTAATACGCCGGCGGGATGTGGGAACGCGACCTGTGGAAAGACACTGGGGACCCCTCCTGTAGCCCACAGTGATGCCGCTACAGTGAGAGCACGGACGTGACTCAGACTCTGAAGTATCCGTGTCTCCCTGGAGGTCACCCTGTCCTCTGAGTAGCACGTTTACGCCTTTCGTAAAGAGGGATCGCACTTCCTCTGCAGAGGACCCAGGGATTTTTTTTTTTCACTTTCAAATTCATCTTCATTTCCGCTATCTTGAACTGGTCAGGGAGCATGACTGTTGAAGATATTTATTTGCCGTCATGTAATTTGTGACGATATCTAGATATCAGTTTTATTATTTTTTCAAATCAACCTTCATTTGTCATACTGAGTAAGCGATAAACCCCTGTTTAACTAATGTTCCCTGAGTCTGTTTCGTTTGGCTGGGCCTGAGTCGGGCTTGATGTTACGTGTTGAGGACACTTGGGGACTTGAGATTTCGACAGCAGGCTGCTGGATGTGTGTCGTGTGCGGAATGTACTGAGCATGTGCGGGGAAGGGCGGAACATTTTGAGGGCGGAACATTTCAGGTCCTGTGCCTTTCTCTTTCTGAACAGTCCAACTGAAATTGCTGACCGGACGTATCCCAGTTCTAGATGTTGGATGTTTCTTTTGGTTTTAAAAATGATTCACTTGATCCAAGACATGCCTTAAAATCGCAAGTCATTCCAAAGGTTTGGCCTGGTCCTTCTGAACCGCCCCGTGCGAGAGATAAGTCTGGAATTGACCTGCTGCGAGGATGATGAAGCATGAGGGAAGGAAACACTCGCCTCTTGTTCTCCGTCTCCTAACCTTAATCAAGTCCCGTGACTTTGAGTATTGCAATTCAAGTCTGCTGGATTTCTGGAAGGGGGGGGATAAATGTGTGCTTTGAAAGGCTGTCAGCCCAACAGTGCTTTCTGACAGCTGCAAGGCAGCATAACAAGTTCTCCAAATGAAGCAGGAGGTTCGGGGGGAGCCGGGGGGGGTGTAAAAAAAAAAAAAACACGACGGGGTAATCAGGAGGGGGTGGGAGGCAGCCACTGATTTAACACTGTAAACGTGCTCTCAGTAACTTGAGAAGTGACAGCAAGGGAGATCAAAGCCTGCAGCCAGAGGACATGGTGAAGCGGGGGCCAGTCGACTTCCTGTGGAGGCAGCCGGCGCGCTGCAGTATAACAGAGTGCGGTTAAGGAGCTCGGCACCTTGGAGCAGGACCCCGGCCGCCACGGCCTGCCGCTCCCGGCCCCACACTGGATCCCTTTGTGCTCCGCAGTAGAGCAGATTCCCAGCATCCCTTCTGCTTCCCTTTGGGTCCCGGGGATCCAGTTCTGGCCCATAGAAGGGCAGGCCCGCCTCGAGGGATCGTGCCCCACTGCCTGCCCGCACGCCAGCTGCGAGCGGCTCGTCGAGCTATTCGGCACATCCAGGCTGTAAAGAGGCTGTGTTGTGGTCTCGGGCGGCCTGTAGCAGGCCTGTGACCTTCTCCCACTTCTTTGCTGTTTATTTATCTGTTTATGTCTTTCTAGCAGACTCAGACCCAAGCCGGCGACCACTGATTTTCACCCATGTGCTCAGCGGCGTTTTCGGTCATGGCGAGTGATCGGTATCAGGCCGAACCTCTGGTCCTGATTATTTACACGCCGGGCTGCGCTCTGACCCTCCTCCTGGGATATTTCTGCAGACGCTGACACGTCGTCGTCAGTTCCCCTTTGTGTTGCCGCCCAAACCACAGTCCAGGAGTGTGCTGTAACTTAATTTTATAACACGCTGCCAGACATGTAGGTGTATTAAATGTCATCTTCCTTGTTTATTTTCTGAACTTACAATACCAGTCAAAAGATTGGAAACACCTCCCCACAGAAAGGTTTTTTCCATACTATTCTCTACATTTTAGAATAGTTATGAAGACATCAACACTATAAAATAGAATATGTAATTATGCACGGACCAGAAAAAATATTTTTTAGAAAATGTTTGTGTTACTGCGAGAGGGCAGTTCAGTGGGGTTGGGACCCAGAAGGTTGCTGGTTCAAATCCCTGGGTAGGCAGAGTTATGTTACCATTGGACCCTTGAGCAAGGCCCTTAACCCGCAATTGCTCCAGGGACTGTCTGACCCTCCTGTCTTCCTTACGGCAGTTCCATGAGGTGGCCTCCTGGGATGCTTTTTCCGACTCTCCTGAAGGAGGTCCCACATCTACTGAGCACTCATTGCTCAGTTTTCCTTCACCCTCTGGTCAGACTGCTCCTAAACCATTTCTACTGTGTTTAGGTCAGGTGGCTGTGTCTTGTAGGCAGCATGGTATGTCCAAACGATTTCACTGGTTAAATGTAAAATGGATCATCACCAAAACCTTCCAGATCTGTGTGAACATCAAGTGTTCTCTGACAGAAACAGTCAGCCAATAGGAAAAGGCTCCAAATTCTGCCAGACCAATGGAGTACTGGAAGAGTGCCACCCATGTAACTGATTGGTTGAAGTAAGTTTAACAGCGCGGGGCAATATGAGGGCATAGAGGTGGAGCAGGAGCTTGTATATTAAGGGGTGTTCGGCCCAATCATGAAAATCTGAATGGTCTTCTGCTCTGAGTGTACAGCTAATGCTGCTTTGACCAGGCCTGGCTTTTAAACGTGACATCAAGCTGTCACAGCTCTCAGTGCTGCTGTCCCCTCAGTAACCCATTTCCATGCTCTAAGAGCAAGACAAATATGGAAAAATCCAAATATGGAAGGCTTGCAGAATGGGTGCCAGCTGAGAACGTCAAACATGGCTTGGGCATTTCATTCTGTCTCCTTAATTTGTCCCTGGTGAAATCAGAATCCCTCCTTTAGGTTGCAACAGTGTATGACTCCAAGTTCAGTCTTAAGTTTAATTTTTACATTATAGCGGGGTGTTACCTTCTACATCTGTCAGAAGATTTGCCCTTGGGGAAGGAGAACACGTTAGTTTTTGCAAAAAAGTTTTTAAAAAAAATGTAATAGATTTGGAACCATTTCGCATTGTCACAGGCAAGGCACTTCTCATTCTTGTAAAATTGTTTTGATGTATCATGATATTTTGTTGCCATCTAGTGGTTGTTTAAAGAACTGCATCTCATCTGAGGAAAGCTTGTCTGAAATTCGGATTTGTCTGGTTATTTGTTTCCAGCGTGAGCCCCGATGGATTTGGACAAGCGGCCATCTCACCAGGACGTCCCGCCACGGCCTACGGTTTCCGACCCGATGAGCATTTCTTCTACCGATACGGATCCTCCCGCTAGAACCATTACCCTTGGCGAAAAGTCCTGACCGGGTCCCCTGTTCTTTAGACTGAAACGCCTCCGGAAAACTAGACTGGCAGTTTATTACGATGCCAACACTATGCCCAGCACTTAAGCATAACGGCTTTGAGTAGTTAGGGTTCCATGTTTATATATTATACAAAGTTATCAGAATCATCCTCGGAATTAGTTTGTATTTAGTTTCACTATTCTGCCGGCGGCCTCACGTAACTCGAAATGTTTCTGCATGTCGGGTTATTCGGGCCGCACGTCGCATTGGAAAACTCCACGACTGTAAGTATAGGCTTCCACTTCTAACGCATTAAACGTCAATAAACGACAAGCAGACTTAGTGAAAAACAGGCACACGCATTGTATAATAAACTTTTAGTAGTGATATTTTTTTTTATGGTAGTCGACGGACTGAAGTGTCCTGGGAACAGTTGCATGGATTATTGTCTTGGTGTTCTTTGCTTATATGAAAGTATTTAATGTTCTGACACTGGAAGACTGTTGCATTACACGTCCTAGAATTGTTGCTGGCAATACAAAGCTACTGTATTAAATTAAAACGTAAGAAAGCACTACCTTATGTTCCCTTTGTTACTGGCTAACAATATGCATTATCGGTTTAGAAATGCTCTTTTGTATTATTTATTATTTTCTATGGATTGTCTGTTATTTTTTTGTAGCCATTCTGGGACAATGGGACTCCCGGTGGGGGGCTGAAGCTTGTCATGTCTGCTGTAACATTAAAAAGCATTTGCTGCCATGATCGAATTCTGAAGCTGTGTGATTGGACAGATTATGTGAAGTTTGGTATGATTGGTCCATTTATGTACGCATTCATCCAAATAAAGATGATCGCAACACCAGTTTGTTTAAAAGAGTATTTACTGACTCCAGTTTTCTGCAAAGTATCCTCAACATATTTTTTTAAAAGTCTAATTTTTCTATTACTACAATTCTTTTCCAAAGTAAAAAAAAAAATACTGTGAATTTCTGTGTTCCAAAATAGGTGAGCTAAATTTCTTCAGAACCAGTCTCTCTGAATAGGTTATTCACAAGGTGACTGTTAATCTGACGAGTCTCACTATAGTGTTGTGGTGGATGTCACCATATGCCGAAACGGGAGCTGTCTAAATGTTTGTCTTCCTGCTGAGAAATCTGGCTTTACAGTTTCCATCTAACAGTTTGGGGTGGGGGGG